GGCAAAAAATTATAGTCGCAAGGCGGGTTGGATGCCGGGTTGTTTCGACACACCAGCCCATGTCTCTGGAGAAGGTTTGATTGATCTCTCTGGTCTCTCTATGGTCTCTCTATGGTCTCTCTCTCCCTCTGGTCTGGTCTCTCTCTGGTCTCTCTCTGGTCTCTCTCTCTGATCTCTCTCTCTGGTCTCTCTCTCTGGTCTCTCTCTGGTCTCCCTCTCTGGTCTCTCTCTGGTCTCTCTCTGGTCTCTCTCTCTGGTCTCTCTCTCTGGTCTCTCTCTGGTCTCTCTCTCTCTGGTCTCCCTCTCTGGTCTCTCTCTGGTCTCTCTCTGGTCTCTCTCTCTGGTCTCTCTGTGTCTGTTCTCTCTCTGGTCTCTCTCTCTCTCTCTGTTCTCTCTTTTTGCTGTGACTTTAGAAGACTTATTTTCATTTTAACACGTTCCCATCTTCTCTGTTGTGAAAAGTCGACATGGGTCCAAACAACACGCCTTCCCCTCCCACTGCTGACTCAGGTCGCAGCCTCTGAACATGAGTCAAAGACACAGAGGGACAAATGGGTTTAGTCCAATCTCTGTGAGGCAGTTTCCAACATATTTAGACTGAAATCATTACTTCACTTTTTAAAACACGTAATGACAAAGAGAATATTGTAAAGAGCAAGTTTAATGGTTTCATAAACACGGTGGTGATAAACTACAGCTGCCCTGGGGCACACTGACAGGAGCGAGCGTGCCATCGGCCCCTCCCACCACCACCAACCATTCACACACACACCAGACTCATTCTAATGTGGGGGAAGTGTCTTGCCTAAGGACACAACCACAGTTTGGCACTTTACAGCCGCAGCCGCCCCACTGTGGCACCTGCTGTTCACTGAGGTCTCCCATCACAGTACTAACCAGGCCCTGCCTTGCTTAGCTTCAGAGGTCTGACAGGATCTGCAGGTGGCGCCGCACATATGGTGAAGAGGCTGATGGTCTAAAACTATGTGTAGTGTTCTCAGTGTCAGGTGCATTGAAGGACAAACTGATTTATGGTCCTCACTCCGAGAACTTTAGTACCATTAACTCTGTGATGATTTTACTGCAGCGAGACAGAGAGAGAGAGAGAGACCAGAGAGAGAGAGAGAGAGGGGTCAGAGAGAGGGAGGCCAGAGAGAGAGACCAGAGAGAGAGAGAGAGAGAGACCAGAGAGAGAGGGGTCAGAGAGCGGGAGAGAGAGAGGCCAGAGAGAGAGAGAGAGAGAGACCAGAGAGAGAGAGAGAGAGAGACCAGAGAGAGAGAGAGAGAGGGGTCAGAGAGAGGGAGAGAGAGAGGCCAGAGAGAGACCAGAGAGAGAGAGAAAGACCAGAGAGAGAGAGAGAGAGACCAGAGAGAGACCAGAGGGAGAGAGAGAGAGAGAGGTCAGAGAGAGAAAGGGAGAGAGAGACCAGAGGGAGAGAGAGAGAGACTAGAAAGAGACCAGAGAAAGAGAGAGAGAGACCAAAGAAAGAGAGTACAGAGGGAGATTAGAGAGAGACCTGACAGATAGACCAAAGAAAGAGAGTACAGAGGGAGATTAGAGAGAGACCTGACAGATAGACCAAAGAAAGAGAGTACAGAGGGAGATTAGAGAGAGACCTGACAGATAGACCAAAGAAAGAGAGTACAGAGGGAGATTAGAGAGAGACCTGACAGATAGACCAAAGATAGACAAGGGACAGAGGTTAGAGAGAAACCAGAGCGAGACCAGAGAGAGAAACCATCCCAGCACTAACCAGGCCCTGCCCTGCTTAGCCTCAGGGTGTGTTTTTGATGTGGAACAATGTTGGAGTTCCACATTCCGCACGTGTCCAGTGGAGTTGCCCTTTGTCCCGCGGTCCTTGAACGCACCATTCTCAAGAATCCGCTCTTTTTTTTTCTCTGGAATCTCCTGTTTGCTTCATAATAACCACGCGTCCGTACGTCACGCCCCACGCGGACCCCACGCTCACGTCCACAGCGGTGTCTCAGAGCCGCCTGAACCCCGTACGTGTGTTAACGTCAGGTCTGAGGTCGCCCGTGGCCGGTCCTGACGCGTGTCCTTGGATGACTCTGGAACACGGTGTGCGGCGGATGCGCGCTCTCGAGGTTCGTGGGCGCGCTCCCGGCAGACGACTTTCAGTGTGATAATAAAGAGACCATAACGACACAGACAGAGGTGTGAGGGATTAGATGGAGAGACTAGGAACGTAACGACCTGTGGGGCTTAAAGGATGGATCATAGTTTTATACTTGTATTTATATCTGTATAAATATTTGTATGTATTTGTGTATTTGTATATGTATTTCCCATATGCAAGAAGCAATGTGTAAAAAATATATATTGGAAAATAAATCAAAAAGCTGCTGTATTACTCTGAGAGAGACCAGAGAGAGACCAGAGAGAGAGACCAGAGAGAGAGACCAGAGAGAGACCAGAGAGGGACCAGAGAGAAACTAGAGAGAGACCAGAGAGAGACCAGAGAGAGACCAAGGAGAGACCAGAGAGAGACCAGAGAAAGAGACCAGAGAAAGACCAGAGAGAGACCAGCTTGAGAGACCAGAGAGAGACCAGAGATGGGCCAGAGAGAGACCAGAGAGAGAGACCAGAGAGCAAGACCAGAGAGAGACCAGAGAGAGAACAGAAAGAGAGACCAGAGAGACTTTGATGAAAGTAACCCATGTCGTATAGTTTGATGTAGTGACGAATCGTTCAATTGACTTTTTATGAATGAAAGAACGTCGTGCTGTGCTTCACTACAGACCACTGGTTTTACTATGAGCCCTGGTCCTGGTCCTACTCTTTGGTCCTGGAGGTCTTTGTTTTGGTCCTGGTCCTTGTCCTGGTCCTGCTCCTTGGTCCTGCAGGTCTAGTTTCTTGGTCCTGGTACATGGTCCTTGGTCCTGGTTCTGGTCCTGGTCCTGGTCTTGGTCTTGGTCCTTGGTCCTGGTCCTGGTCTTGGTCCTTGGTCCTTGGTCCTGGTCTGTGGTTGTCTCCCTCAGTCATATAATTTACGGATTTTTAACGTAAATATCTAAAACAATAATAATCAGTTCATTATAAAATTATGAGATTAAAATACACGTCACGTGTTAGTTCGACCCCTGCGCGCGCCCTCTGGTGGTGAGCACGCGCCACTGCTGGACCGCATTAAAGCACAGTGTAGGGCGCCCTCTGCTGGCCGCGCACAGAGGCTGTATTTGGGTTTAATTGAAGAAAATGACAATAACTGAAGTGTTTGTGTTTATTGTGGAAACTCAGATTAACTCAGGGTTTGGAGAGAGCTCCTAATACTGCTTTAAAGTCTGAAATCACACAAATCAAAAGTACAACGAATTAAACATATATATATATATATATAGAGAGAGACCAGAGAGAGACAAGAGAGAGAGACCAGAGAGAGAGAGAGAAGAGTGAGAGACAAGAGTGAGAGAGAGAAAGAAGAGTGAGAGACAGAGAGAGAGAGAGACAAGAGAGAGAGACAGAGAGAGAGAAGAGTGAGAGAAAGAGAGAGAAAGAGACAAGAGTGAGAGACAGAGAGACCAGAGAGAGAGACCAGAGAGAGAGAGAGAAGAGTGAGAGACAAGAGTGAGAGAGAGAAAGAAGAGTGAGAGACAGAGAGAGAGAGAGACAAGAGAGAGAGACAGAGAGAGAGAAGAGTGAGAGAAAGAGAGAGAAAGAGACAAGAGTGAGAGACAGAGAGAGACCAGAGAGAAAGACCAGAGAGAGAGAGAGACAAGAGAGAGAGACAGAGAGAGAGAAGAGTGAGAGAAAGAGAGAGAAAGAGACAAGAGTGAGAGACAGAGAGAGACCAGAGAGAAAGAGAGAGAGACAGAAAAAACCATATTGGAAATACAAATTAATGATGTTAATAAAAATGCATTATTTTTATACAGCACTTTTTCAGGACTCTCAAAAGCACTTCACATATTTATTCTTTCTCTCCATAGACGGTGATGATAAACTATTGTAGCCACAGCTGCCCTGGGGCACACTGACAGCAGCGAGGCAACCGGTCTGTCCAATCGGCCCCTCCCTCCACCACCAACCATTCACACACACACCAGACTCATTCTAATGTGGGGGAAGTGTCTTGCCTAAGGACACAACCACAGTTTGGCACTTTACAGCCACAGCCGCCCTACTGTAGCACCTGCTCTACCCAGAGGTCTCCCATCACAGCACTGACCAGGCCCTACCCTGCTTAGCTTCAGAGGTCAGCAAATATTAGGTTTTATTTTGTCCCTGAAGCATTTGTCAAAAACATCCTGTGATCCCAGACTGTATTTCTCCACTTCTACCACCAGGGGGACTTTACAGTGGAGTTTGCATGTTCTCCCCGTGTCTGCAGCAATACACACTGCAGTCCAAAAAAAAATGCAATACTTTTTGTTAATTTTTTGTCTACATCAAACACTGCAGGCAACAGATAAAGGCAAGATTCATGACTTCTGTTGTGAGGTCATTCTTTGAAGTGTAACTGGTTTGAAAATGGGGCGTTTAGGCTGAAGGGGTGGGGGTCACTGTGGTGAGCGTGGATGGAGATAAACACATCTGCAGGTTTGTGACTGATTTAATATGGACTAAATGTCTGATTTAAAAAGACTGAAAGGGTTGATTTGATGATAGCCTGGATAGATAGGTCTCTGTTCAGTCCAAGAGAGAGACCAAAGAGAGATCAGAGAGAGACCAGAGAGAGACCAGAGAGGGAGACCAGAGAGAGACCAGAGAGAGACCAGAGAGAGTCAAGAAAGAGACCAGAGAGGGAGATCAGAGAGAGACCAGAGCGAGAGACCAGAGAGAGACCAGACAGAGACCAGAGAGAGACCAGAGAGGGAGATCAGAAAGAGACCAGAGAGAGACCATAGAGAGACCAGAGAGAGAGGTTCAGTCCAGGTAGGTTGTAGGTCTGTGGTCCTGATCTTAATCTAGGTCTTGGTCCTGTTCTTGGTCCCTGGTCCTAGTGTTGGTCCTGCTCTTGATCCTTGGTCTAGGTGTGTGTTCAGTCCACATGGGGGGGTCTCAGCCCGGAGCACCCGGAGCATCCCCTCTTCTCTCTGAGGCGGTAGTCGAACTGTGGCAGCACCAGGACGCCGCCCTCTGGTGGCGGCGGAGAGGAAGCACAGGCCTCCTGCGCCGACAGGACGTGCTTCACCAAACACGACACAGCCACGTCGATGTTGGTGTCGTCCTGGAAACAACACAACATTTAAAGCTCGGGGACGTAACTTTCAAAACATAGAAATAGAACTCAGTGATAAGACCCAAGTCAACAGTTCCTGGCTCTAAGTTTAATTCTGTCATTTCAAGTTTCATGTATGTCTGGCCTCCGTCTCACTCTGGTCTCTCTCTGTTCTTTCTCTGGTCTCTCTCTCTGGTCTTTCTCTGGTCTCTCTCTCTGGTCTTTCTCTGGTCTCTCTCTCTGGTCTTTCTCTGGTCTCTCTCTCTGGTCTTTCTCTGGTCTCTCTCTGGTCTCATTCTGTGTTTCATTTCACCTGCATCACAGACCTCACATTACACCTGTGTATTAAGCCTGTGTATTACACCTGTGTATTTCGCCTGTATGTTACAGCTTTGTGTTACACCTGTGTATTACACCTGTGTATTACGCCTGTATGTTACAGCTGTGTGTTACACCTGTGTATTACACCTGTGTATTTCGCCTGTATGTTACAGCTGTGTGTTACACCTGTATATGACACCTGTGTATTACACCTGTATATTACGCCTGTGTATTACACTTGTGTATTACGCCTGTGTATTACACCTGTGTATTACGCCTGTGTATTACGCCTGTATATTACGCCTGTGTATTACGCCTGTGCACAGACCTTGGCCGAGGTCTCAAAGCAGTCCAGGAAGCCGTACTGTTGAGAGAAACTCTCCAGTTTGGGGACTTTGGGACAGAGACCGTGACGGCGCTGGTCGCACTTATTCGCCAAAAGAACCGCAGGCACCGGGCGACCGTTACTGAGCGCCACCTGCAGGACACAGGGGAGAGCACACTTTAAAGGAGAGAGTACCTACTTCACATGATATCCTGAAAGAGTTTTGTGAAAGTAAAAGCTGGCTGAGAGCTGATTGGCTGAGAGATGATTGGCTGAGAGACAGGGGGTCCTCTCTTTGTGGCTTTTCTGTCTGAAAAATCTGATCTGGTTCTACTTAGTTCCAGACAACACCTGCTCAGTGGCTGTTGATGGAAATTAACTTATGGCAAAACATTTTCACAAAAGTCTCAATGGTCTCTTTTTCTGTTCTCTCTCTCTCTAGTCTTTATCTCTCTAGTCTCTCTCTCTGGTCTCTCTCTCTGGTCTCTCTCTCTGGTCTCTCTCTGGTCTCTCTCTGGTCTCTCTCTGGTCTCTCTCTCTGGTCTCTCTCTCTGGTCTCTCTCTCTGGTCTCTCTCTCTGGTCTCTCTCTGGTCTCTCTCTGGTCTCTCTCTCTGGTCTCTCTCTTGTCTCTCTCTGATCTCTCTCTGGTCTCTCTCTGGTCTCTCTCTTGTCTCTCTCTTGTCTCTCTCTGGTCTCTCTCTGGTGTCTCTCTCTGGTCTCTCTCTCTGGTCTCTCTCTCTGGTCTCTCTCTGGTCTCTCTCTTGTCTCTCTCTGATCTCTCTCTGGTCTCTCACTGGTCTCTCTCTCCGGTCTCTCTCTGGTCTCTCTCTCTGGTCTCTCTCTCTGGTCTCTCTCTCTTGTCGCTCTCTAGTCTCTCTCTCTAGTCTCTCTCTGGTCTCTCTCTGGTCTCTCTCTCTGGTCTCTCGCTGGTCTCTCTCTTGTCTCTCTCTGGTCTCCCTCTCGTCTCTCTCTTGTCTCTCTCTTGTCTCTCTCTAGTCTCTCTCTCTCTCTGGTCTCTCTCTTGTCTCTCTCTGGTCTCTCTCTCTGTCTGATCTCTCTCTCTCTCTGATCTCTCTCTGGTCTCTCTCTCTCTCTGGTCTCTCTCTTGTCTCTCTCTGGTCTCTCTCTCTGTCTGATCTCTCTCTGATCTCTCTCTCTGTCTGATCTCTCTCTGGTCTCTCTCTCTGTCTGATCTCTCTCTGGTCTCTCTCTCTCTCTGATCTCTCTCTGGTTTCTCTCACAGGGATCCTTCTTACAGCCTGTGTAGTGACCTACAGTCCATGTGTTATTCCATCAGTGTGTAACGAGTTTGACAGCAGAGGGTTTGTGCAGAAGGGTTGGGGTCACCTTCGAGTCCAGGTCTCCCTTCCACTTGAGCACAGCCTGAAACGTGGAGAGTCGGGTCATGTCGAAGACCACCAGCGCCCCCACGGCCTCGCGGTAGTACACACGCGTCATGTGACCATAGCGCTCCTGCCCTGGAGACACACAGACTGATGAGGTGGAGAGAGAGGGAGCAGCGTCTGCGCTCAGAGCTCTGGGTCAGTCATTCAGAGACCATAAAACTGTCTTCTCTGTCGCTGCTACATGGTTCTGGTGAAGAAGGTTCTCAAACTACACACAAGTCACTGACGAACAATACACAGTGTAACTGCTCTCTCTCTGGTCTCTCTCTGGTCTCTCTCTGGTCTCTCTCTGGTCTCTCTCTGGCCTCTCTATGGTCTCTCTATGGTCTCTCTCTGGTCTCTCTCTGGCCTCTCTATGGTCTCTCTATGGTCTCTCTCTGGTCTCTCTCTGGTCTCTCTATGGTCTCTCTATGGTCTCTCTCTGGTCTCTCTCTGGTCTCTCTATGGTCTCTCTATGGTCTCTCTATGGTCTCTCTCTGGTCTCTCTCTGGTCTCTTTCTGGTCTCTCTATGGTCCTTCTCTGGTCTATAACTGGTCTGCCTCTGGTCTCCCTCTGGTCTGTGACTAGTCTCTCTCTGGTTTCTCTCTGGTCCCTCTCTGGTCTCTCTCTGGTCTCTCTATTGTATCTTTCTGGTCTCACTCTGGACTCTCTGGTCTCTCTCTGGTCTCTCTCTGCTCCCTCTCTGGTCTCACTCTGGTCTTTCACTGGTCTCTCTCTGGTCCCTCTCTGGTCTCCCTCTGGTCTATAACTGGTCTGCCTCTGGTCTCTCTCTGGTCTTTCTCTGGTCTCCCTCTGGTCTGTCTGTAGTTTCTCTCTGGTCCCTCTCTGGTCTTTCACTGGTCTCTCTCTGGTCCTTCTCTGGTCTCTCTCTGGTCTCTCTATGGTCCCTCTCTGGTCTCACTCTGGTCTTTCACTGTTCTCTCTCTGGTCTTTCACTGGTCTCTCTCTGGTCCCTCTCTGGTCTCCCTCTGGTCTATAACTGGTCTGCCTCTGGTCTCTCTCTGGTCTCTCTCTGGTCACTCTGGTCTCTCTCTGGTCTCTGTCTGGTTTCTCTCTGGTCTCTCTCTGGTCTCTCTTTGGTCTCACTCTGGTCTCTCTCTGGTCTCTCTCTGGTCTCTCTCTAGTCTCTCTCTGGTCTCTCTCTGGTCTCTCTCCGGTCTCTCCATGATCTCTCTCTGGTCTCTCTCTGGTCTCTTTCTGGTCTCTCTCTGGTCTCTCTCTGGTCTCTCTCTGGTCTCTCTCTGGTCTCTCTTTTGTCTCTATCTGGCGTCTCTCTGGTCTCTCTCTGGTCTCTCTCTGGTCTCTCTCTGGTCTCTGTCTGGTCTCTCTCTGGTCCCTCTCTGGTCTCCCTCTGGTTTATATCTGGTCTGCCTCTGGTCTCCCTCTGGTCTATATCTGGTCTGCCTCTGGTCTCTCTCTGGTCTCTCTTTTGTCTCTATCTGGCGTCTCTCTGGTCCCTCTCTGGTCTCTCTCTGGTCTCTCTATTGTCTCTTTCTGGTCCCTCTCTGGTCTCCCTCTGGTCTCTCTCTGGACTGGATAAATTTGTTTTGGCCATTTCATTTGGACACATTCTCCTTTTCCCCGTGTAAAAAGCTGACACGGGTCCAAACAACGCGCCCCCCCTTCCCTTTATAGTCATAGATTTATCACTGCATTATTCCACATGGTAAACCAGGCAAACCAGTTCAAACACACCAGTGACGTCAGGCTTTATGTGTTTGACTTCAGCCTTTTGTCAACAACAGACGGAAAACTGCGACTCACACGACAAAGTCACCCAGTAATTTTATTCTCTGGTCTCTCTCTCTGGTCTCTCTCTGGTCTCTCTCTGGTCTCTCTCTCTGGTCTCCCTATGGTCTCTCTCTGGTCTCTCTCTGGTCTCTCTCTGGTCTCTCTCTGGTCTCTCTCTGGTCTCTCTCTCTGGTCTCCCTATGGTCTCTCTCTGGTCTCTCTCTGGTCTCTCTCTGGTCTCTCTCTCTGGTCTCCCTATGGTCTCTCTCTGGTCTCCCTATGGTCTCTCTCTGGTCTCTCTCTGGTCTCTCTCTGGTCTCTCTCTGGTCTCTCTCTGGTCTCTCTCTGGTCTCTCTTTGGCCTCTCTCTGGTCTCACTCTGGTCTCTCCCTGGTCTGTCTCTGGTCTCTCTCTGGTCTCTCTCTCTGGTCTCCCTATGGTCTCTCTCTGGTCTCTCTCTGGTCTCTCTCTGGTCTCTCTCTGGTCTCTCTCTGGTCTCCCTATGGTCTCTCTCTGGTCTCTCTCTGGTCTCTCTCTCTGGTCTCCCTATGGTCTCTCTCTGGTCTCTCTCTCTGGTCTCCCTATGGTCTCTCTCTGGTCTCTCTCTCTGGTCTCCCTATGGTCTCTCTCTGGTCTCTCTCTCTGGTCTCTCTCTGGTCTCTCTCTGGTCTCTCTCTGGTCTCTCTTTGGCCTCTCTCTGGTCTCTCTCTGGTCTCTCTCTGGTCTCTCTTTTGTCTCTCTCCGGTCTCTCCATGATCTCTCTCTGGTCTCTCTCTGGACTCTTTCTGGTCTCTCTCTGGTCTCTCTCTGGTCTCTTTCTGGTCTCTCTCTGGTCACTCTGGTCTCTCTCTGGTCTCTCTCTCTGGTCTCTCTCTGGTCTCTCTCTGGTCTCTCTCGTCTCTCTCTCTGGTCTCTCTCTGGTCTCTCTCTGGTCTCTCTCTGGTCTCTCTCTGGTCTCTTTCTGGTCTCCCTCTGGTCTCTCTCTGGTCACTCTGGTCTCTCTCTGGTCTCTCTCTGGTCTCCCTCTGGTCTCTCTCTCTGGTCTCTCTCTGGTGTCTCTCTCTGGTCTCTCTCTGGTCTCTCTCTCTGGTCTCTCTCTGGTCTCTCTCTGGTCTCTTTCTGGTCTCCCTCTGGTCTCTCTCTCTGGTCTCTCTCTGGTCTCTCTCTCTGGTCTCTCTCTGGTCTCTCTCTCTGGTCTGTCTCTGGTCTCTCTCTAGTCTCTCTCTGGTCTCTCTCTGGTCTCTCTCTGGTCTCTTTCTGGTCTCCTCTGGTCTCTCTCTCTGGTCTCTCTCTCTGGTCTCTCTCTGGTCTCTTTCTGGTCTCCCTCTGGTCTCTCTCTCTGGTCTCTCTCTGGTCTCTCTCTCTGGTCTGTCTCTGGTCTCTCTCTAGTCTCTCTCTGGTCTCCCTCTGGTCTCTCCATGATCTCTCTCTCTAGTCTCTCTCTGGTCTCTCTCTGGTCTCTCCATGATCTCTCTCTGGTCTTTCTCTCTGGTCTCTCTCTCTGGTCTCTCTCTGGTCTCTCTCTGGTCTCTCTCTGGTCTCTCTCTCTGGTCTCTTTCTGGTCTCTCTCTGGTCTCTCTCTCTGGTCTCTCTCTGGTCTCTCTCTGGTCTCTCTCTGGTCTCTCTCTGGTCTCTCTCTCTGGTCTCTCTCTGGTCTCTCTCTGGTCTCTCTCTGGTCTCTCTCTGGTCTCTCTCTGGTCTCTCTCTGGTCTCTGTAAATACCAACTCATATATAATTAACATGTAATATACAGTAGTTAGATGTTAAATAGTGAGGGCTGAACTAAAGTGTGATCTCTGTGCAATCCCCCACTTCCACCACCAGGGGGAGGCATTCTTTTTTATTGTTGTCAACATCAAACAAAGCAGATGTAAAATAAATGATTTGACTGGAGACAATTCATATTTATTACAGAAAACTACAGATGAGACAGAGGCCACAAATGAAGCTAAATTTCAGACTGGAAGACAGGACAATCACACTCCGCTGCCGCACAGAAGCTCCATCCAAGCTGCTGCAACCCTCCTCCTCCCCATCTCCGCCTCGTTCCGGGCTCTTTCATCCTTCTCCTGGCCCTCACACCAGGGTCTAGGTCCCAAGGGATTTCATCTCATAATCTCTTTCTCCTTCTGCAATCCGTTGCCGGGTCGCGGGGGCAGCAGTCTAAGCAAGAGACGCCCAGACTTCCCTCTCACACACTTCCTCCAGCTCGTCCGGGGGGACCCCAAGGCGTTCCCAGCTGAGAGACATAGTCCCTCCAGCGTGTCCTGGGTCTTCCCCGGAACACCTCCCCAGGGAGGCGTCCAGGAGGCATCCGCAACAGATGCCCGAGCCACCTCAACTGGTTCCTCTCGACGTGGAGTAGCATCGGCTCTACTCCGAGCTCCTCCCGTGTGACTGAGCTCCTCACCCTATCTCTAAGGGAGCTGCCACTCTGCGGAGGATGCTCATTTCGACCGCTTGTATCCGCAATCTCGTTCTTTCTTTCTTTCTTTTTTTGCGCATGCGTGGGCGGCAGCCGGCTGCAAGTTGAATGCCCTCCCCTTTTCTTCTCACTTTTCTACTTTTTAGCCACTTATTTTTTACTTTTTTCGCTAACTGCTGTTATAATACAGCCGTGTGAAGCTACTGTCCACTTAGGAAGTGAGACACGCCGTGTTTTTCCACCGTTCCCTCATCATAAACGTGGATTATACCTGTGAACGGAGATGTGCCCATGCGCTCCCATTGTTTACACCCGGGACCAGCTGCTGGCGCTGCGGACAGCGGAGGGCTCTCCTGGGGACAAACACACTATTCCTGCGGAGATTCTACTGAAAACAACCAGGGGATGCCGCGGGGGATGGAAGGTACGAGGGAGAATGAGATCCAGACCCGCGGTGCCTGCCGTGATCACCGGGAATGTGAGGTCTCTCTCAAATAAGACTGACGAACTGGCTTCCAGTGGCTACACACAGACATTGCGGACTCTGCAGTGGCTCTGGATGGATTCCACACCATCAGAACGGACCGCACCGCGGTGGAAAGAGGAGAGTCGGAGGGCTAGCCGTGTTTGTGAACAACAGCTACGGCAATGTCATGGTTTAAGTTTATTTCCTGTTTTATTTTGAAATGTGTTATCCCTGTGTCTTCTTTGGTTGTACTTCCTGTTGTCTGATTAGCTGCCCTGCCCTCATCTGTCTCACCTGTGTCTCGTTAGTCTTGTATTTTAGCCCTGTGTGTTCCATCACTCCCTGTTCCGTCATTGTCATTCGTAGTCTGTTTTGGTTCTGTCCGTTCCCTGTGTTTTTGGTGTGTTTTGGATTTGTTTTATATTTTTATAAACCATTATTTTTTTGCAGTTTTGCTTTTTGGGCCTCATTTGTCTTTCGCCCACGTGACAGAATGACGGAACCACACAAGGCCCAAGTAGACTGCTTTATTTTTGATTTTTGTCATCTCTGGCCCATCTTTGTCCCCGACTGGTCTAGAGAGTTGCTGCAGGAGCTGGACGCATTCCCTGTCTGTCTGTGTCCTGGACCACTGCAGGACACTTGGCTCCGTCCTGGGTGGTTGCAGGCTTTCGTCCCTGACTTGGCTCCGCTGGATATTGTTCTCCATCCAGGGGGCCTTCCGTACCCGTTTTGCTCCAGTCCCGGCTCAAGTTCCTGCTCCAGCTCTGAGGCTTTACGTCCCGGCCTCGGCTTCGCGTCCCGGCCCCGGCTTCGCGTCCCGGCCCCGGCTTCGCGCCCCGGCTTCGCGCCCCGGCTTTGCGCCCCGGCTTCGCGCCCCGGCTTCGCGCCCCGGCTTCGCGCCCCGGCTTCGCGCCCCGGCTTCGCGCCCCGGCTTCGCGCCCCGGCTTCGCGCCCCGGCTTCGCGCCCCGGCTTCGCGTCCCGGCCCCGGCTTCACGTCCCGGCTTCACGCCCCGGCCCCACGCCACGGCCCCGGCTTCAAGTCCCGGCCCCGGCTTCAAGTCCCGGCCCCGGCTTCACGTCCCGGCCCCGGCTTCACGTCCCGGCCCCGGCTTCACGTCCCGGCCCCGGCTTCTCGTGCCGGTTACACACCCCGGTCCTTCCTACGGTCCCCTTCCTCCCTCGCTGGTTTTGTTTTTGGGACGTCTGGCATCCGTCCCTTGAGGAGAGGGTACTGTCATGGTTTAAGTTTATTTCCTGTTTTATTTTGAAATGTGTTATCCCTGTGTCTTCTTTGGTTGTACTTCCTGTTGTCTGATTAGCTGCCCTGCCCTCATCTGTCTCACCTGTGTCTCGTTAGTCTTGTTTTTTAGCCCTGTGTGTTCCATCACTCCCTGTTCCGTCATTGTCATTCGTAGTCTGTTTTGGTTCTGTCCGTTCCCTGTGTTTTTGGTGTGTTTTGGATTTGTTTTATCTTTTTATTAAACCATTATTTTTTTGCAGTTTTGCTTTTTGGGCCTCATTTGTCTTTCGCCCACGTGACAGGCAAGCCGGAGCACTGCACTGTGAAACGCCAGGTGTGTGAGAAAGACATTGAACTTCTTGCCATCGGTGTGCGGCCATACTTTGGGCATGTTATTCTCATAGCTGTCTATGTCCCTCCAGCGTGTGATGCTCTCCACTGTCGGTGCCCTGCAGGCGCAGCACCCGCAGGCCTTATTTATCATTACCGGGGACTTCAACGACGCGCCCCGGGCCTCCACACTGCCACTGTTCACATAATATGTCTCCTGTCCCACTAGAGGAGACAAAATATTGGATCAGTTCTTCAGCAATGCCAAGGACGCATACACATCGGCAGCCCCCCCCCCTTGGCAGAGCTGATCATAATATTCTGTACCTCCGGCCGGTCTACAAACCATTAGTGCACCGGCAGCCCGTGGTGAGGCGCTCGATGCGTACATGGAATACGGACACTGTTGAGGCCCTCCAGGATTGTTTTGAAAGGACCCTCTGGGACGAGCTCTGTGACCCCCAGGGCCAGGACATTAATGGCATGACGGAGTGTATCACAGGATATATAAACTTCTGCTTTGAAAACACTTCGGTGACCCGGAAAATGCGGTGCTTTGCCAACAAACAGCCGTGGATTAATTCCGACGTAAAGGCTCTACTGAAGGCAAAGAAGCGCGCTTTTCTTGGTACCGCCCTTGATTGCCACGCGATGTTGCAGAGACGTGTCAGAGACAGTTCTATAACATCCAGAGACTTTAGAGTCAGGGCAGATCTCATCCACTCCCGGCGCCTTAAGGAGGCTGCCAACCACCTTGGTGACCTCAGCCAGGATTATGTACATCACAATAAATGTACTCTTGAAAATATTATAATATACAAATCCAGTAAGGGGCGACAGAAGCTCAGTTGTAGAGCAGTGGCCTTTGGGCCTGAAGGTCGTGGGTTCGAGTCCACCATAAGACCTACTTCATGACTCCCACTGATTACTACTACCGTTGTGTCCTTGGGCAAGACACTTAACCCCACTTTGCCTGAAGCCCCCACTGAAAGATCTAGACTCCTGTGGATCAGTGAGGGGCTGGAGCTCTGTGACTGGGTACAGCTCTGACTGCCACCCCCCCGACCCAGAAATGGATTAAGGGGAAGAAAATGGATGGATGTATGAATCTAGTACCCATGTTTTGTCTGTTCGAGGAAACTAGTGATAGAACTTTTCTGGTCTCTCTCTGGTCTTTATCTGGTCTTTCTCTCTCTGGTCTCTGGTCTTTATCTGGTCTTTCTCTCTCTGGTCTCTGGTCTTTATCTGGTCTTTCTCTCTCTGGTCTCTCTCTCTGGTCTCTCTCTGGTCTCTCTCTGGTCTCTCTCTGGTCTCTCTCTGGTCTCTCTCTGGTCTCTCTCTGGTCTCTCTGGTCTCTCTCTGGTCTCTCTCTGGTCTCTCTCTGGTCTCTCTCTGCTCTCTCTGGTCTCTCTCTGGTCTCTCTCTGGTCTCTCTCTGGTCTCTCTCTGGTCTCTCTCTGGTCTCTCTCTGGTCTCTCTGGTCTCTCTCTGGTCTCTCTCTCTGGTCTCTCTCTGGTCTCTCTCTGCTCTCTCTGGTCTCTCTCTGCTCTCTCTGGTCTCTCTCTGGTCTCTCTCTGGTCTCTCTGGTCTCTCTCTGGTCTCTCTCTCTGGTCTCTCTCTGGTCTCTCTCTGGTCTCTCTCTGGTCTCTCTCTGGTCTCTCTCTGCTCTCTCTGGTCTCTCTCTGGTCTCTCTGGTCTCTCTCTCTGGTCTCTCTCTGGTCTCTCTCTGATCTCTCTCTGGTCTCTCTGGCCTCTCTCTCTGGTCTCTCTCTGGTCTCTCTCTCTGTCTCCTCTGGGTTCTCTCTTTTTCCCTTACAAAGGCCAAACACACATGTGAAAACTAGTGATAGAAAGTGTTTCAGAGCCATGATTTTATCGCAGAGTTACAGAGTTGTATTGTTGTGGTTTGAAAGTCAGGTCCCTCAGCTTTAATCCAGTCCCAGTGACAGTTACCAGAGGTCTCAGCAGCAGTAGTTTCTGGGTCATGAGCTGAGACTGTTCTGCTGAGTCAGCTTCTGTCTCTGGCTCCAGATTGAAATCATGTGAAGGGAGTTAGTGCTGAGAGCTCAGACCTGGGTCCAGAGGAGAGTCTGAGCACCACCACCACAGCAGTCAGTTTGACTGCTTTTGGAAGTCTCATTCCTGGTGCAGAGAGACCAGAGAGAGACCAGAGAGAGAGACCAGAGAGAGACCAGAGAGAGACCAGAGAGAGAGACCAGAGAGAGACCAGAGAGAGACCAGAGAGAGACCAGAGAGAGAGACCAGAGAGAGACCAGAGAGAGACCAGAGAGAGTGACCAGAGAGAGACCAGAGAGAGACCAGAGAGAGACCAGAGAGAAAGACCAGAGAGAGACCAGAGAGAGAGACCAGAGAGAGACCAGAGAGAGAGACCAGAGAGAGACCAGAGAGAGAGACCAGAGAGAGACCAGAGAGAGACCAGAGAGAGACCAGAGAGAGAGACCAGAGATCTCTCTCTGGTCTCTCTCTGGTCTCTCTCTATCTGGTCTCGGTCTCTCTCTCTCTGGTCTCTCTCTATCTGGTCTCGGTCTCTCTCTCTCTGGTCTCTCTCTCTGGTCTCTCGCTCTGGTCTCTCTCTGGTCTCCCCCCCACTCACCCGCGATGTCCCACAGCTGCAGCTTCACCGGGCCCCTCTGGTCCCAGGGCAGAACCTTCAAAGCGAAGTCGACTCCGATGGTCGCTCGATAGTGCTGAGAGAACACCTGGTGCACGTAGCGCTGGATGATGGAGGTCTTTCCCACGCCCAGGTCCCCGATCACCAGCACTTTGAGGAGCCGCTCCTGCTGCATCTGTGCCGGGGGAGGGGGTGAGACGGGGGGGAGGAGGAGGAGGAGAGCGCTGAGGTCCAGAGAGAAGAGAATGCTTTTATTAGATGGAAAAAATATGAACATCTTTGGATCATCTTTTTCAGACAGAAAAGGGAAAAAGAGAATGACCAGAGAGAGCAAGAGAGAGAGAGAGAGAGAGAGAGAGAGACCAGAGAGAGACCATGAGAAAGACCAGAGGAAGAGACCAGAAAGAGACCAGAGAGAGACCATGAGAAAGACCAGAGAAAGACCAGAAAGCGACCAGAGAGAGAGAAAGAGAAAGACCAGAGAGAGACCAGAGAGAGAGGAAGAGAAAGACCAGAGAGAGACCAGAGAGAGAGAAAGAGAAAGACCAGAGAGAGACCAGAGAGAGACCAGAGAGAGACTAGAGAGAGACCAGAGAGAGAGAAAGAGAGAGACCAGAGAGAGACTAGAGAGAGACCAGAGAGAGACCAGAGAGAAACCAGAGAGAGAGACCAGAGAGAAACCAGAGAGAGAGAAAGAGAAAGACCAGAGAGAGAGGAAGAGAAAGACCAGAGAGAGACCAGAGAGAGAGAAAGAGAGAGACCAGAGAGAGACTAGAGAGAGACCAGAAAGAGACCAGAGATAGACTAGAGAGAGACCAGAGAGAGACCAGAGAGAGACTAGAGAGAGACCAGAGAGAGACCAGAGAGAAACCAGAGAGAGAGAGAGACCAGAGAGAGACCAGAGAGCTTAGGTGATCATGTTCTCTTGTGTGTCAGACAGATCCCTGTGAGTCACTGTTTGACTCTTTGGGCCGAGAGCTGATTGGCCGAGGGAGGAGGTCCTCTCTCTGTCACAAGAGGCCAATTCTCTGGTCTTTTTAAACCAAAAATACCACAGAAATAGATAAAAAGTGGTTCATGTAACTGTATAGAGTTCTTTCGTGTGTGTCCATGTATCTATCTGTCTCTGTCTCTCTTCTCTCTTTCTTCTTCACTTTACCCATGTTCCAAAAACCACCAGAACTCTATTTTGTCTTGATTTTGTTGAATTGTGGATGTGTGTGTGTTTTCTGCCCCATGTGAGAAACCCTTGTGTGTGGATCTTATAAACACGGGACAGTGTGATTACATCAAATTGTGGAATGTGCCCAAATCAACACAAAACATTAGGCTTCACTTACTCAGCACTGTGCCGACTGCGCATGCGCCGTGGTCTCAATCAGGGTCCCAAATATCCAAAGTTATTACCACACACTGTAATTATCACGCGTAAAAAATGGCTTAAAGGTTGGAAACGGCACTTGTTGGTTTGCTCCGTGGATCCAAAGCGAATATCCAAAGGCTTTAGGGGCGTAAAATGCTGGAATTGTCCCAAAAACGAGCAAAAGTAAGTTAATATTTACTACAATCAGTTAAAGGTATCTTGACTTCAGCGTTACAGACGGTTTTAAAGGATTGACTAATGGAATAATGTGGTCACGTGGTCTCAAACCCTTCTCCTGAAGCGAAGATCTAAGGTTTTTACGCGTAAGATACTGTCAAGTTGGATGTCAGCGCCGCAAGTTTCTGTTAATCCAAGTGCGCATGCGCGGTGGTTATCGTTAGAGGCACCAAAGCGAAGTCACGCGTAAAACTGTAGAGAAGGTAAATAGAAAGTCCAGTTCTGGTGCTGACTCCGCGGCAGTTCCAGAGGATTCCAAATGATTCTTCTGTGTTTTGAGTTGAATGTGCGGTGCTGGAGGTGGAGTTGGTTGCATCAGACGCAGAGGAAGTGGAAAGAAAAAGAGAGAAGTGTCCAGAGCTGGTGCTATCAGTCTGCGGTCCGTGCGCATCCTCCGAGTGCGCAGAGCTCCGTGCGTAAAGGACAGAGATAAGATTCTAAAGAACCTCAGAGAGAGAGAGAGACCAGGAGCAGAGGAAGTGTCGCGGAGAAAGAGAAACACGCCCCTGGAGAGAGAAGGACACTGAGACTGTGACTTTATCAGAGAAATTAAGGAAAATAATTGATCCATTTGACACCATCGAGAAGAGGCAAAACCTGAATCACTACAGTAGTTTACTCTCAGGACTTTACAAAACAGAGAGAGAGTAGTTTACTCTCAGGACTTTACAAAACAGAGAGAGAGAGTAGTTTACTCTCAGGACTTTACAAAACAGAGAGAGAGTGAAAGACCTGAGGAAAACCAGATAGAGAGACCAGAGAGAGACTAGAGAGAGACTAGAGAGAGACCTGAGAGAGACCTGAGAGAGACCAGAGAGAGAGAGACCGGAGAGAGAGACCAGAGAGAGACCAGAGAGAGACCAGAGAGAGACCAGAGAGACCAGAGAGAGACCAGAGAGAGACCAGAGAGAGACCAGAGAGAGACCAGAGAGAGAGACCAGAGAGAGACCAGAGAGAGAGACCAGAGAGAGAACAGAGAGAGAGAGACCAGAGAGAGAGACCAGAGAGAGAGAGACCAGAGAGAGACCAGAGAGAGAGACCAGAGAGAGACCAGAGAGAGACCAGAGAGAGACCTGAGAGAGACCAGAGAGAGACCGGAGAGAGAGACCAGAGAGAGACCAGAGAGAGACCAGAGAGAGACCTGAGAGAGACCAGAGAGAGACCAGAGAGAGACCAGAGAGAGAGACCAGAGAGAGACCAGAGAGAGACCAGAGAGAGACCAGAGAGAGAGACCAGAGAGAGACCAGAGAGAGAGACCAGAGAGAGAGAGACCAGAGAGAGACCAGAGAGAGAGACCAGAAAGAGAGACCAGAGAGAGAGAGAGAGACCAGAGAGAGAGACCTGAGAGAGACCAGAGAGAGACCAGAGAGAGACCAGAGAGAGAGACCAGAGAGAGACCTGAGAGAGACCAGAGAGAGACCAGAGAGAGAGATCAGAGAGAGACCAGAGAGAGAGACCAAAGAGAGAGACCAGAGAGAGAGACCAGAGAGAGACCAGAGAGAGAGACCAGAGAGAGACCTGAGAGAGACCAGAGAGAGACCAGAGAGAGAGACCAGAGAGAGACCAGAGAGAGACCAGAGAGAGAGACCAGAGAGAGACCTGAGAGAGACCAGAGAGAGACCAGAGAGAGACCAGAGAGAGACCAGAGAGAGAGACCAGAGAGAGAGACCAGAGAGAGACCAGAGAGAGACCAGAGAGAGAGACCAGAGAGAGAGACCAGAGAGAGACCAGAGAGAGAGACCAGAAAGAGACCAGAAAGAGACCAGAGAGAGAGACCAGAGAGAGAGACCAGAAAGAGACCAGAGACATAGATCCATAAGGAGCAGAGACCAAAGTCCATAAATATTGCTAAATGTCGAGTGTCTTTAAGTAAAAGTGTTGATTCTTCTTTACCAGAATCTTCTCTGGTTAAATAAGAGCAGAGACGCTTCATTCACCCCACACTGGAGACACGACATTCCCCTTTAGCACCTCAGAGTCCCAAAGCACTGACAAAGCAGTGGACATAGTCTCTCAGTCCGCACAGAGATGGGGGTGAGGCTGATGTCAGATCTATACATGTCTTAGTGGTAGGGGAAGAACATGCAAACTCTAGACAGAAAGACCCAGTTCCGGGATTCGAACCTATAAGGAGCACACGACACACACAGAGAGATAAGTTAATCTTAATAATAAGTAAAATAATGTCAATGTAAACAGTGTGATCCAGGACTCTACACTTTTAACAACATTTATCAACATTGTAGGACTTTGTCTCTGTCTCTAATGGACCGACGTCTCTGTGTTTGATATCTGTGTATTCTCTGTGTTCGATTCTCTGATCTGTGTTCGATTCTCTGCTCTGTGTTCGATTCTCTGCTCTGTGTTCGATTCTTTGATCTGTGTTCGATTCTCTGATCTGTGTTCGAGAATCGACAGTTTTGTAAAGTCCTCTGAGATAAAACTGTTGTGATTTAGAGCTAAACATTGCAAATCATTCCTAAAAAGTACTCGCTTTTAAATGTACCTATTCTCGAGTCAAACAGTAAAAATGTGTTTTTGTTTTGTTTGTTGTGAACCTTTTTCTTCTCACAAAATATTAAAGTTATAAAAGGTGAATAAAGATCAGATGTGTTCTACGAAGACAGCGACGCTTCTCTCTCTCTCTGCTCAGACAAACTCCGTGTTGTTTCTGAATCTGGCTCTAAAAACTACAACTCCCAGCTGTACTTCCGGGTGTGCGCAGCAGGGCCGTCGCTGTGGAGTAAACGCGCAGAGACTTTTTTCTGGATTCAAAACATGTTTATTTCTGAACAAAGCCGCAGCTGTACACAGGGTTTGGCTTTTCTAAGATCAGAAAACCTTTGTTAGTCCCACAGTGAGGAAATGTCAGTGTTGCAGCGCACAGGGCAGGGTTAGGGAGACAACAATAGAAGTAACTGTGAATACTTCATGAGAGCAAGTACATTTATAGCTCTCTGTCTCTCTCTTTGGTCCCCCTTTTTTTGTGTGTCTCTCTCCATCTTTTTGGTCTCTCTCTTTAGTGTGTCTCTCTTTGGTCTTTCTCTTTCTTTGGGTCTCTCTCTCTTTGGTCTCTCTCTTTAGTGTGTCTCTCTCCCTCTCTTTGGTCTCTCTCTTTCTTTGGGTCTCTCTCCCTCTCTTTGGTCTCTCTATTTAGTGCGTCTCTCTTTGATCTCTCTCTTTCTTTGGGTCTCTCTCCCTCTCTTTGGTCTCTCTCTTTCTTTGGGTCTCTCTCCCTCTCTTTGGTCTCTCTATTTAGTGCGTCTCTCTTTGATCTCTCTCTTTCTTTGGGTCTCTCTCCCTCTCTTTGGTCTCTCTCTTTAGTGCGTCTCTCTTTGGTCTCTCTCTTTCTTTGGGTCTCGCTCCCTCTCTTTGGTCTCTCTCTTTAGTGCGTCTCTCTTTGGTCTTTCTCTTTCTTTGGGTCTCTCTCTCTCTTTGGTCGCTCTTAGTGTCTCTCTGTCTCTCTTTGGTCTCTCTCTCACTCTCTTTGGTCTCTCTCTTTAGTGTGTCTCTCTCCCTCTCTTTGGTCTTTCTCTTTCTTTGGGTCTCTCTCTCTCTTTGGTCTCTCTCTGTCTCTCTCTCTCTTTGGTGTCTCTCTTTAGTGTGTTTCTCTCTCTTTAGTGTATCACTCCGCTTGGTCTCTCTCTCCTTGGTCTCTCTCTGTCTCTCTCTCTCTTTAGTGTCTCTCCTTGGTCTCTCTCTGTCTCTCTCTCTCTCTTTAGTGTCTCTCTTTGGTCTCTCTCTCTCTCTCTCTCATACTTATACAGTGTCAATTGTACAGATATCTGGCAGGATAATCCGTAGTTCTTAAATTCTTAAATGTCAGTCTTGCACATGGTTGCATTATTTACTATTGACAGATGAGACATGTACAGGCTCAGAAGTCCTCATTGTACAGTCTGACAGCAGCAGGAAGAGAAGCCCTCCCAGTCGCCACAGTGTAGCCGTGCGTGCAGATTCTCCGTGCGTCTCTACGTCCTGCTTTACGGCAGTGGTGCTGATGCGGGATGAGTCAGGCGATATGATGCTCCCGCTGCCATTTCACCCACACGAACCGAAGCCCTGGCGCTGAACTCTCCACAAACACAGGATTTTTGCACACAAAAAATCCGCTCATCGCTGTGTTGAAGGCGCACAGACACAGAACAGACGCAAACAGACAGACTGCCGCGGGTGTGCGTCGCGCCGTCGCCTCCGTCTCTGCTCCGGGGCCTACACCGCGGAGCCTGTTGTTCCCACTCCCTCTCATTTCGGCTTTGTCACGGTTTGAACGGATCGATCAGCGGAGGTTTTTTCCCCCACTTGTCCTTCGCAGAGAGAGCGATGGAAGCGGAGTGAAGCAGGTGAGAAGAGACTGCGTTTGGATGTGTTTGTGATGAAGGGAAACGCGTGGGCTGTGAGGGGAATGGGGAGACGAACCGGGCGATCCGGCCGAGTTTTTTTACTCCATCGTCCACTCCAGCGATCTGCGCATTTAAAGTTGTTTTCTCACTTACTATTGATACTGCAGCTGCTTGAACAGAAAGAGGCTTAATAAGTCAGACCACAACAAGCGGCTCGTCTTGATCTCTCTCTGGTCTCTCTGGTCTCTAGTCTGCCTCTCTGGTCTCTCTCTCTCTCTCTCTGGTCTCTCTGGTCTCTAGTCTGCCTCTCTGGTCTCTCTCTCTCTCTCTCTGGTCTCTCTCTCATGGTCTCTAGTCTTTCTGGTCTCTCTCTGGTCTCTAGTCTGTCTCTCTGGTCTCTCTGGTCTCTCTCTCTCTCTCTGGTCTCTCTCTCATGGTCTCTAGTCTTTCTGGTCTCTCTCTGGTCTCTCTCTCATGGTCTCTAGTCTTTCTCTCTTTTCTCTCTGGTCTCTCTCATGGTCTCTCTCTCTCTCTCTAGTCTCTCTGGAGGGAGAGGAGGAGGAGGACTCTGGGGACATGTGTGTGTTCAGGAAACATGACTCCACACTGAGAGGAGGAGGAGAGATGATAATAATACATGGTTCTTATTCAGCGCTTTTCTGGACACAACACCTCATGTCATTATTCATTCACTCCAACAACTACTACTACTGTAGCCACATCTGCCCTGGGCACACTGAGAGAAGTGAGGCCCCTCCCACCACCACCAACCACTCACACACACACCAGACTCATTCTAATGTGGGGGAAGTGTCTTGCCTAAGGACACAACCACAGTTTGGCACTTTACAGCCGCCCCACTGTGGCACCTGCTGTTCCCAGAGGTCTCCCATCACAGTACTTACCAGGCCCTGCCCTGCTTAGCTTCAGAGGTCTGACAAGATCTGGGTCCCACCTGCAGGTGGCACTCCAGAGATACAGTGTTTTGGTCTCTCTGGTCTCTCTCTGGTCTCTCTCCGGTCTCTCTCTCTGGTCTCTCTTTGGTCTCTCTCTGGTCTCTCTCTGGTCTCTCTCTCTGGTCTCTCTCTCTGGTCTCTCTCTCTGGTCTCTCTCTGGTCTCTCTCTCTGGTCTCTCTCTGGTCTCTCTCCGGTCTCTCTCTCTCTGTGGTCTCTCTCTTCTCTCTCTCTGGTCTCTCTCTCTCTCTCTCTGGTCTCTCTCTGGTCTCTCTTATCGCTCTTTCTCTCTGACATATTTTGAAAGCAGCACGTTTGTTTTGACTCCTCCCTCTTCTGCATGGGGGGAAAAGCTGACACAGGTCCAAACCACATGCCCATCTTTCCCTCTGTGGTCCACAGTAGGTAACGGCCTCTAGATCAGACAGACCCTCGCGGTTGCCGGTTCTAGTCCCACACTCAGAGTCAGTCGTAGACCTGTAGAATCGGAGAAAGGCCTGAAGCTGAGTCTTAGTCAAACGTCACAAAGACAAACAGAGACACGACCACAGAATGTTCTGGATCTTCTCTTTCTCTGAGACGGAAACACACACTTCACACCCGAGACGGCAGGTAACTGACTGTAACTGACTATCTGACTGTAGCTGACTGTAGCTGACTGTAACTGACTGTAACTGACTGTAACTGACTGTAGCTGACTGTAACTGACTGTAACTGACTGTAACTGACTGTAACTGACTGTAACTGACTGTAACTGACTGTAGCTGACTGTAACTGACTCTATCTGACTCTATCTGACTGTAACTGACTCTATCTGACTGTAGCTGACTGTAACTGACTGTAGCTGACTGTAACTGACTCTATCTGACTGTAACTGACTCTATCTGACTGTAACTGACTCTAACTGACTGTAACTGACTGTAGCTGACTGTAACTGACTGTAACTGACTATCTGACTGTAACTGACTCTATCTGACTGTAGCTGACTGTAGCTGACTGTAACTGACTGTAGCTGATTGTAACTGACTGTAACTGACTCTATCTGACTGTAACTGACTCTATCTGACTGTAGCTGACTGTAGCTGACTGTAACTGACTCTATCTGACTGTAACTGACTAACTGACTGTAACTGACTGTAACTGTAACTGACTCTAGCTGACTGTAACTGACTCTATCTGACTGTAACTGACTGTAGCTGACTGTAACTGACTGTAACTGACTCTATCTGACTGTAACTGACTAACTGACTGTAACTGACTGTAACTGTAACTGACTCTAGCTGACTGTAACTGACTCTAGCTGACTGTAACTGACTCTGACTGTAACTGACTCTATCTGACTCTAACTGACTGTATTTAAAGCTGGGGAACCTGACTTTTCTGATTCATGAATATTACATATTGTGTGTCTCCATATGAATGTACATTGTTTTTAATCCTGGTTTAATCCTGGTTCTGTCCTGGCTCAGACCTGGTTTAGTACTGGTTTTATTGACTTCTATTTAACCAGGATGTTTCTGCCCTGGTCTCTCTGGTTTCTCTCTGGTTTCTCTCTGGTCTCTCTCTCTCTCTCTCTGGTCTTTCTTTGGTCTCTCTGGTGTCTCTCTGGTTTCTCTCTGGTCTCTCTCTCTCTCTCTCTGGTCTCTCTCTGGTCTCTCTGGTTTCTCTCTGGTGTCTCTGGTGTCTCTCTCTGGTTTCTCTCTGGTCTCTCTGGTTTTTCTCTGGTCTCTCCTAGCGCCACCTTGTGATGAAACAGAAACTGTACATATCACCTGTTCCTACTGTAGCGTAAAAGCTGCACTACAGTACCTGGCTTGCGGGAGCGAGTGTCGTAGTTAGATGTGGGCGACGTCAAGAGTTTGCGCCGAACGGGAAGGTTGTGGTTTGGCGAAGAATGTGATAGTAAAGTATTCAGATCTGGTTCTATCAAGAAACTGAAGCCGGAGCAAGAGGAATGTTTAGCAGATGTAATCGCTGCAAAGATTGTGGCGCTACTCCCCACGGGCTCCGTTAGCGGTAAAGGAGATGGCTAAAGCTAAATGCTAACAACAGACTCGGGCTCATTCCATACGTCACGGTAAACTCAGATCCAATGGTTTCAATCTGCAAAAGGAGTTAGCCCCTCCCACCTGTTCACGGAGTCAATGGAGCCAATCCAGACCTTAGTATGAAATGTAATTTGTACTATGGTGTGGTAAGACCAGGCTATTGTTTCACGAAAACTCGATCTAAAATAAAATGACTGCAGCACAAATCTGTGCTACTTCTTTTTCAAAAGGACGTTTATCCCAATGCACTGCACGGATTTTAAATACAAAAATAAAGTCATTTAGTGCAGCTTTAACTTTCCTGTATTATTCCCAGATCCACTTGGACTCTCTCGTGTCTTGTGGTCCCTGGCTCGTGGCTCCTGGACTGGTGGCCTCTGGCTCGTAGCCCCTGGCTCGTGGCTCCTGGACTGGTGGCCTCTGGCTCGTAGCCCCTGGCTCGTGGCTCCTGGACTGGTGGCCTCTGGCTCGTAGCCCCTGGCTCGTGGCTCCTGGACTGGTGGCCTCTGGCTCGTAGCCCCTGGCTCGTGGCTCCTGGACTGGTGGCCTCTGGCTCGTAGCCCCTGGCTCGTGGCTCCTGGACTGGTGGCCTCTGGCTCGTAGCCCCTGGATCGTGGCTCCTGGACTGGTGGCCTCTGGCTCGTAGCCCCTGGCTCGTGGCTCCTGGACTGGTGGCCCCTCGCTCCTGTGGCTCCGCGGGGACATGGAAGCGATCTGGCTGTACCAGTTCCGGCTGATCGTGATCGGAGACTCCACGGTGGGGAAGTCGTGCCTGATCCGACGGTTCACCGAGGGCCGCTTCGCTCAGGTGTCCGACCCCACGGTGGGAGTGGACTTCTTCTCTCGTCTGGTGGAGATCGAGCCCGGGAAGAGGATCAAGCTGCAGATCTGGGATACGGCGGGACAGGAGCGCTTCAGGTGAGGCCTCCCCTGCCACAAAACACCAGCAACACCAGGGGCACCATGGGCACTGCTGTGGGAGGGCATCCAGTTCCACAAAACACCAGCAACACCAGGGGCACCAGCAACACCAGGGGCACCAGCAACACCAGGTGCACCATGGGCACCGCTGTGGGAGGCATCGGGGTCCACAAAACACCAGCAACACCAGCAACACCAGGTGTACCTCTGTGGGAGGGCATCCGGGTCCACAAAACACCAGCAACACCAGCAACACCAGCAACACCAGGGGCACCGCTGTGGGAGGGCATCCGGGTCATTAGGGTTGCAGCTAATTCACAAGGACGGGGGTGAATTTGGGAGGGGGCTTTAAAGAGAGAGAGACTAGAGAGAAACCAGAGAAAGAATAGAGAGAGAGACCAGAGAGAGACTAGAGAGAGACCAGAGAAAGAATAGAGAGAGAGACCAGAGAGAGACTAGAGAGAGACCAGAGAAAGAATAGAGAGAGACCAGAGAGAGTAGAGAAAGACCAGAGAGAGAATAGAGAGAGAGACCAGAGAGAGACCAGAGAGAGACTAGAGAGAGAGACCAGAGAGAGACCAGAGAGAGACCAGAGAAAGACCAGAGAGAGACCAGAGAAAGACCAGAGTGAGACCAGAGAGAGACCAGAGAGAGACCAGAGAAAGACCAGAGAAAGACCAGAGAGAGACCAGAGAAAGACCAGAGAAAGACCAGAGAGAGACCAGAGAAAGACCAGAGTGAGACTAGAGACTGACAAACGGTGGAGAGCGGGACATCGAAATAAAAACAATAACAAGATTTAGAGGCTGTAAAACTAATTTTGAAATTCAAATCTTCTCTGAACTACTGTCATCAGTTAAAGAAGTATCAGAAAAGAGCAGTTTATTAATGTCTTTTGACAGATTAAGGCCCTTTAATGAAAAGACATGAAAATATTACATATCGCTACTTTAAACATGAAAGGAAAAATTTGTTTTCTGTCTCTCTCTTTCTCTAGTCCCTCTCTCTGGTCTCTCTCTGGTCTCTCTCTGGTCTCTCTCTCTAGTCTCTCTCTCTGGTCTCTCTCTGGTCTCTCTCTCTAGTCTCTCTCTCTGGTCTCTCTCTGGTCTCTCTCTCTAGTCTCTCTCTCTGGTCTCTCTCTGGTCTCTCTCTGGTGTCTCTCTGGTCTCTCTCTGGTGTCTCACTGGTCTCTCTCTGGTCTCTCTCTGGTCTCTCTCTGGTCTCTCTCTCTAGTCTCTCTCTCTGGTCTCTCTCTGGTCTCTCTCTCTAGTCTCTCTCTCTGGTCTCTCTCTGGTCTCTCTCTAGTCTCTCTCTCTAGTCTCTCTCTCTCTCTGGTCAATCTCTAGTCTCTCTCTGGTCTCTCTCTCTGGTCTCTCTCTGGTCTCTCTCTCTGGTCTCTCTCTGGTCTCTCTCTGGTCTCTGGTCTGTGCCACCGTAGTGGTCTCACGTGTGTATCTCTGGGTCTCTCCTCAGGTCCATAACCCGAGCGTACTACAGAAACTCTGTGGGGGGTCTGCTGCTGTTCGACATCACAAACCGCAGATCTTTCCAGAACGTCCACGACTGGTTAGAAGAGGCTCGCAGCCACGTGCAGCCCCATAGCATCGTGTTCCTGCTGGTGGGACACAAGTGTGACCTGGAGGCGCAGAGACAGGTGACTGAGACCCTAGGGACCCTACAGACTCTACAGAACCTGCAGACCCTTTGGACCCTACGGACTCTACAGAACCTGCAGACCCTTTGGACCCTACGGACTCTACAGAACCTGCAGACCCTTTGGCCCCTACGGACTCTACAGAACCTGCAGACCCTTTGGACCCTACGGACTCTACAGAACCTGTAGACCCTATGGACCCTATAGACCCTACAGACTTAATAAACCCTCAGTCTATTGGGTCTGACCCTCAAGTTTCTCAGTCACGCAGAGACAGGTGACTGAGACACTATAGACCCTAACCCTACACAAGTGTGACCTTCCTGGTTCTGTAACCTTTGATATTCTTCCTGGTTCTGTAACCTTTGGTATTCTTCCTGGTTCTGTAACCTCTGGTATTCCTCCTGGTTCTGTAACCTCTGGTGTTGTGTGGCAGGTGAGTCGTCAGGAGGCGGAGAAGCTGGCTGGAGCCTACGGGATGCGGTACGTGGAAACCTCGGCCAGAGACGCCATCAACGTGGAGCACGCCTTCACCGAACTCACCCGCGAGATCTTTGCCCTGGTGCGGTCCGGAGACATCACCATCCAGGAGGGCTGGGAGGGCGTCAAGAGCGGCCTTGTCCCCAACGTCGTGCACTCGTCTGAGGAGGTGACCAAGAGCGACCGCCGCTGCCTCTGCTAAAGACTCTGTCCCCGGGAGGAGGGATCGGAGGCCTCAGAGATGGACTGACGGGAGGACAGAGGGAGGACAGAGGGATGGACAGAGGGATGGACTGATGGAAGGACTGATGGAAGGACTGATGGAAGGACTGATGGAAGGACTGATGGAAGGACTGATGGAAGGACTGATGGATGGACTGATGGAAGGACTGATGGATGGACTGATGGAAGGACTGATGGAAGGACAGAGGGATGGACTGATGGAAGGACTGATGGAAGGACAGAGGGATGGACTGATGGAAGGACTGATGGAAGGGACTGATGGATGGACTGATGGAAGGACAGAGGGATGGACTGATGGAAGGACTGATGGAAGGACAGAGGGATGGACTGATGGAAGGACTGATGGAAGGACATATTACCTGTGAGAGCTTTTGCACTGTCACTGCTGAAGAAAAACTGCATCGCGAAGAGGTCCGAGGCCCAGAGTGAAAGAATGGACTGACAGAACCATGGACTGATGGATTGACAGAACCATGGACTGATGGATTGACAGAACCATGGACTGATGGATTGACAGAACCATGGACTGATGGATTGACAGAACTATGGACTGATGGATTGACAGAACTATGGACTGATGGATTGACAGAACCATGGACTGATGGATTGACAGAACCATGAACACCTTGTTAACGGTCGTCAGTTGCCTTCGCTCAAGCAAGACTGCATCGTGAAAAGACGGAAGGTTTTACCATTGAACAATTATTGGAAGCCATTCTGTAAACGGGCTTTGGCTTCTTCTACAGCGGGACGGCATCGCAAAGAGACTGGAAATGCGTTGAACAATGAGAACGCTTTTTTCTATAGCATTTGTTGCCTCTGCCAACGCCAGAGTGGAGGTCGTAGAGCGAAGGTATTGACTTTTGGATGGAGTTTTTTATGACAGATGCTGAAGCAAGGAAAGGTTGCGAAGGCTTAGAGCAAAATGGTGATGGATGGAACTTTGGAAGACCTCATGACAAAGAGATAGCATTGCTTTAGAGATGGCATTGCGTTAGAGCTGGCATTGCGTTAGAGCTGGCGTGTCTAAACTGTCACTAAGAGCCACTTTATACAAACCTACTCCAAGCAGAGGAATGAAGTCTGGTGGTATTTACTTTATCATTCAGATGGATCACACAGCTTTGGAGGTGTTAGGTCGGAAAAGGCTTGGAAAATTCATATTCCAGCGTTATCATACCATGTGATCAGAGGTCACAATGGTAGAATTACCCAAAATGGCTGTACCCTGGTTAAAAATGCACTGTCCATGATCATTTGCGCCAATTCAGAAGCCATCAAAAGATCCTCTTAGGGCCAGGTTTGGACACTCCTGCTTTAGAGTAATAATCGGTTTGATGAACGCTATGGGAGGATGACCTCATCACGAAAAGCTGCTGATGGATGGAACAATGGAAAACTTTTTCTAAGAGGTTTCTAATGGATTTGGTCTATGTCATTCCATGAATCAAAGAAGGAGGTTGTTTTTGATAGTTTAATACATCAAAATGTCTGACACTTTTTCCAAGAAGTTTTAGTTTGCAGCTTGAACTGAAAAGCCCACCTATTTATATATCTGTAAAAATATCAAAATGCCATTGTGAGGTGAGTTTTACACTACTGAGGCCGTGTAATAGTAATTCGAAATGATTTGGGCCTAACATCCTTCTGTGATTTCTACCAAAGAGGTCTGATGTAAAATTGACAAACACAGCATCCATTTTGAAATATTATTAAGATCAAAATTGTCAAAATGAAAAAAGTTGATTTCATTTGAGAATTTAAGCTTTTTGGAAGGTCAGGCGTCAGACATTTTGGATTCTCCTTCCCCCTTCTTTTCCACCAGTTCCACCTCTCGTACTACTTCTACAATATGCAATTTCATACCACTTCTTCTGTTCATCTACACATTTTGGAGCCAGCAAAAACTGCATTGGATTTTGCGACGGCGTCTCATCGGATCCACACTAAAGACCTGGATAGTAGTGTACAGTTCAAATGTCCAAGTATGAAGACTGAACACTGAACGGACCAAAAACGCAGACTTTCTTGGTGTAAAGAGAGGTTGAAGCACCTTATTGGTTGACGTAGAAGGGAACTACATTACCCACAATGCACGGCGCACAAGGCAGGGCTGGTCCACACTGGAAATATGCAAGAAGAGACCAATGAATAATGATTACATGGGCGAGCTACTGTTGGGCTTTTATGATTTGTGCAATAATAGTTTTGAGTAAATCTGCACTGTGTAACTTTTTCACCTGCTTTGGTCCAAAACGACTACATTCCCCCCAAAAAAGGGTCCACGCTTCTGTCTCGTCTACATGGTTAGTCTGTGGCCTTAAAACACAGGAATTTCACCCAAGAACCCTAGTCTCCACTTCCTTACAGAGAGACACAGGCTGGTGTGTCAAAACGACTCAGCATTTAACCCACATTACAACCTACTCTTTTTGTCTGAATTCAAAAACACAGAATCAGTCTCTGGTCACATGTGGTCGGGCAAACAAGGTTATAAAACTATACACGAGGGACAGTACTTTGGTTAATGCTAGGACTCCCAGAGCAGTCATTCAAACAAACCCTAGCCAGGCAGGCGTTGCAAATTTGCAACAAGTTTATTTCTAATTACTCTTTTGACCCTTTTTTCACAGCTGGACTGAGCTTTAGCGACACAGTTTCCACCTGCCCACCAGGGGGCAGTGCTGTCTTACTTACAAAATGTCAGTCTCCGTGGTTTCCTCGAAGCTGATAGGCATGAATTTGAAACCAAAACTGCATACAAAGAAAGATAATTACATTGATAGAGTACAAAATATCTCCTCTGGGGTTTTCCTGGGTCAGCTCTGTTTCCCACAGCGGGCCAAATCTGAAACATCCCAGAATGCTTTGCCTGTGAAGGTCTCGCTCTCAAATAAAAGTCAGGAGTGTATATTATCACCCCCATAATAATTGTCCCAAATATCAGATTTATTTGGGCCCTGAGAGGTTTAATGGAATTCTGAAAACATCCCCAAAAAGATTTCAGATTTTCACTACTATTAAAATGTATACAATTATTATTATTAAGACGTGTTAAAACTGGTTAATATACATGAAATAAATGCCTATGTTATCTTAAATATAGCTATACTAAATGCTAACACGGCTTCCAGTAAACAGTGTGTTGCTATGGTAACTTGCACTCTCTCCAAGCTGAGAGGACTGCTCTGAACCAGTCCAGGACCAGTCTAGGATCGAGATCATTCATAAACATAATTATGTTGAAATAATCTAGATATAGATTCAGAAAAGTCACGAAGACGACAGACATTTATAAACCCAGTCATTCCTGAGCCGCGTTCTATCTGTTATGAAGTTGTCATGAAATGTTTACTTTACAAAGCTGTCGATTCTCCAACACAGATCAGAGACTGCAAAGATAAAAACAATCAGAGCCATTGGTCCATAATGAGCCGAGACCAAAGTCCATGGATGTCGTTGAATGACTTGAAGTGGAATCATTTAGAAGCGTTGCTATACATTTACACCGTCTCCAGGGAATCTCTCGCTGCTGAAAATCGGTTGTTGTGTGTTTGATTTGAGACGCCCGGCTGACGAGACCGGACAGTTCTGGGTCACCTTTCAGCTGACGACGCACACCTATTTCAGCTGACGACGCGCAAAGTATTCAAGCTCCAAAAGCAGAGACCGTCTATTTTTATTATTTTGATAATGTTGTTAATAAATATGTAGTGATTATTCTCTAACGAGGCTAGTCCCACTGAGATAGTACTACGTCTACACTTCTATATCCCTGACTTTGTTTTATTATTGAGATTAGCCTAGCATAGCAAACAGACCTACAGCTTCAGGCACAAACGTGTGTCCCCGCCCCTTCTGTGTAAATACTCCCGTCTCAAACTCATGACACTTGGCTTGGCTATAGTCGGATGCATCATATTAAGTTTATCGGTCATTTGCAGTAAAAACACATTGGAAAACATGTGCAGAGGTCCCCAGAGTGCACCGGACAAGTACATACAAGAAACAATAGTCACTGTGAAACCAATCAGACTGTATGACGAGTGTGTGTCTGATGTTGACAGAAAATTCCACTTATCTATTTTCCACCAGATATGTGTTTTCGTCCCATAAAACCGTTAGAATTGTGTATCTATATATATTTATACTCAAGATATTTTGTCACATGAAATAGACACGCCAAAGTAACAAGCCTCACCTTGCTGTTAGCATAGCATTAGCAAAGCATTAGCATAGCGGCATCCATCTTATGTCATGTTTACCCCATAACTATGTATTTACAGACAGAAGCGTGGTTTAAAAGCTTGGCCTTTGTGTAGTGTCATAAATCTACAAAATATATTAAGATTCTTTCCACAATATTTTTTATTAATTCAATGCAAGCTGCACTTTTGTCAGACCTAGAAACGGGTCAAATTTACTTTCGTTTTTGTGCCGTATTTGTCTCATTATCTACGTTTGCTTTGTGTTGAATTCCGAGGCCGTTTCTCCGCTCCTGTAGCTGCCCATGTAATTCAGGGTCGTTTCTATAAACTTGTCACTAATATTCTAAATGCGTTTTGTTACTACAGTATGAGTTGTACACGTGTGGAGAACAGCGCCCCCTAGTGTTGGACTCACACGGTCTCCTCTCCTGCTCAACTTATGTATCAACAAAACAGAAATGTACTGAAATAAAATGAGAAAACTGGAAAAAACAAACTAAAGTTGGGGATTTTGTGTTGGTTTGGCGACACCTGCTGGACACAGACGTTATGACAGTGGACGTCACTCATAATTTATACGTCAAATGTGTGTATTAGATAGATAGATAGATAGATATTATTTATTTCAAAACCTGCACAAACATCATCTCAAAAATCAACATAACAGTCAAATATACAGGTGCATGGTTTGAAAAGGAGGTGGATGAAGCAAATGCTTATTGAATTCCAACCCCCTCACACATTCAACACA